TTGAGGACTAGGCCTATTAGGAGTTGCGACGATTGGACGCCATGTGATATACAGTAGGCCTTTAGTAGGTAGGATTTACTTGGTGAATGAAGAATAATAAAGTTATTTGAAGCATGGATGTCAGTAGGTTTGTAATAGTATTTGCTCTATATAGTAAAATATAAGCATAAACAACGTTTGAGACTGAAGATACTAGGTATTACTATAATACTTCCGTATTTAGACTGGATTAGAACATTATGCTCATACTTGCCATCATACCATATTTTCATGCAAATATGTTTATAGGCCTGTTGCTGTTGTTATTATTGTTGTTATTATTAATACCTATTAATAGGCCTAATACAGAAATAATATTTATATTTTTAATGCCTAATACCGTAATTAATAATAACATGAAATTAACAATAATAATAATAATATTTGTTTATATAATTCCTTGTATGTGAATTATTTTTGTAGAATCATTTGATATTCATTATAAACTAGTATAATATCAATTTATATATTGCAATTAAACTTACTTTGTTGGGAATTAATTTATAGGCCTATATGTATTTTTTGTATAGGCCTGTATGATTATATTTGATATTTAAAATGAAAAGCACCATTTTATATAGGCCTAATCAATAATATTACATATTGCTTGACATAGGCCTTGCACGTATCCATGTGTGCCCTATTTCCAAGATACAACGAGTTATCAACGTGATATTTTTGCGTCGGACTCCTTTTTGTACATATCGGACATTAGATTACCCGAAATTTAATCGATACAAATGTGACATTCAAGCTATATATATACATAAATTACCCCGAGTAAAGACCTTTATTGCAAAAAATGAAGCGTTTCGATATATTATACATCCGACATAAAGCCTAGCTGTCTTATGAAAAAGCCCCAAACACGCGAAGTATTCCAGTAAAATTCTCGTTGTCGGCTCCCTCAACTCCCAAACGTTTAATCATTTTAAACCATTATGCGAGCTGATCAGCAAGGTACATTAGGATTGAGTGACAACCGCAAGTGCTGCAATACGATGATGCTTCTTGCTAATAATAAATGTACTATGGCACCGAACGGGTATCAAAATAAAATATGTAATGCCAAATTGTGTTTATTAACTTTCGCTTCATTATAAACAAACTTATGTTTTTTTTTTACACAGACGTGCGGTTGCTACCGCGCAAGTTCAAAACATAATTTCGTTTCTTGCTATTAATTTTGTATACAGTACAAAACGCAGGTTTCGCCAAGTGGCTGTATTATATAACATTATAAAAGATTGTTAAAACATTTGCTGTTGCGACAGTGCAAGTGCTACTAAAAAGATGAGGCTACTCAATTATAGTGTACCGTACTAGATGGCACCAAACAGACACTGAAATCACAGCCAAGTAGGTCTACTGTTTGGCGAAAGGGTGTTATTAACAATCAAAATCCTATAAACAAACTAATTTGTTTAAACATGTGCTTTTACTACATGAGCGCAAGTGCGAAGAATGACGAGGCTAAACGCACCGAACTATAGTGTTAATGGCACCTAGCGGGCAATGAAATCCCCTCAAAGTAGTGCTGTATGGCCAATTTATGTTATTAATCATAAACAAACCGATAGTTTTGTCGAACAGATGCGCGACTGTATTAACACTTCCTTTTGTAGACGTTCGGATCTTTTGATATGCTTATGTTTCTAATAATGTTGCTGAACACTATAGCCTGTAGTTGTCATATCTTACTAGGCTTGTACGGTGGGGTTAGGCTAGATTATACCAGAGAATTACGTTAAAACAACGTGACTATAGCTGGGTACATGAAGAAAATTTTTGTAGTGGGCATGATATTATAGGTTCTAGTTGGCTAAAACAAGTGAATATATCAAACACATTAATAGAACTAGGCCTATGTGTACATTATGCCTACAGTTTTTTGAAAAGTACTGTATTAACCAAAATAGATAAGGCGTATACAGAATTGAATATTAATATCTCAATTAGCAACAAGCAAATTTATTCAAAAGTGAAAAAATACTGACTTACGGGTATGCCCAACACGGTCATTATTACTATATTATTTGATTTATTTTACTAGTCCACACAATTACAAGGTTATGATCTATTTAGAGCCTAATAAGAATAGATATAAACAATATACGGTATCGTATTTACTTTGGTATACATTTATCATTTAAAGTAAACATAATTATACAGAAACGGAAATAATGACATTGTGTATAGTGCCAAGGCCTATGTTAAAAAATTAGCGTTGAATTAGAGTTGCTATTCCTCCATGTTAGTTACACTTACAGTAGGCCTTACTTCGTACTTCTTATGAATTTTGTTGAGGGATAATACAACTGTATTTTTCTATGCTGTCAACTAATAACAATGTCGATATTTACAAGCGTTCCTTGTCTATTAACCTTTGAACTGCTACATCAACTGATGGAATTAGCAGATAAAAGACTGTTTTTGTACATTATTTGTGAAATCCCGCTGTTCATATAATTATGAATTCGTCAATGGAACCCAACTGTAACGGACGGACACTGAAATTATCATTAATATTCCTTCTGAATATTTGGAAATGAGGCGGTACAACGATAAGGCAGCCGGCATGATGATTTTTCTGGTTGATTTTTTATTCCACAGGGACCGATGTATCCTAGAAGCGTGGTAAACGTATTAGTCTGGAACTGTATTTAGGCCTATAGTACCGGTAACCGAAAAATAATATTTAAAAAACATAAGCTAACCTTAGTTCGCTCTTCTATGTTTATGGTACAACTATACATAATGTTGAATTATTGTATTATGCAATTTCACTGAGATTATTGCTCTTATTTTACTAATGTACAACTCATAAAAATGATGAAGGTCACATATAAACGCTTTGCGTGCACTCTTTTCCATTTCCTCTGCTATGGGCTGGCTTTGCATCGACTAAACATCTATAATGATACATTAATTACCAATAATAAATATTAATGTTGAGAATAGTAATAATTCAACAGGCCCATTGATGGCAGTTATAATATTTGTTTTTACAATGATGATGACAATAAATAAGGAAAACAGTAAATTGGCCTATAAGGGAATAGGCCTACTTATAACATTCACCATTCTAATTCTGAAGAAACCCTAAAAAGCCTAATGCATGAAAAATATAAATTAAAATTGCTTCCACTACCAATTTTGATATGAGAATATTGGATTCTCAGTGTAGAATACTGGAAATTGGATATCAGTACTATAATACTCTGAATTTAGATACAGTACATTATGCCTATATCATTGAACTAATACATAACAGGCATATAAAACATATCTATCTATTATATTTGGACTAGGCAGACACATACATAATATCTTATACACAAAATGAACACGACACAATAGACATCATTGACAGAGAATACACAATGCTCATACTCTACTTCAGTATTGTTAATTAGCATTTTGTCCTTATTAAGTCCTATGGTCTAGCCAAGATGAAATTTAATTTTATGTTATGCTTGTTTTCAAAGTTTCTTCTAAACACTACTATGTTGTTTTATATTGTTGTTGCTATTGTATGGTATACAGTAATATAGGGCTTTGTCTTTTAGACCTATTTTTATTTTACGATGCCTATAACTCAATGATGGTAGGTATCACAGCTTTGTGATAATTATACAGTAAGCATAATAGTTGTGGGCATATGATTGTTTGGCAGACCATTGAGTCCTTCGAGTCGATAACTTACGAGTACATTACTCTAAATAAACTTCGGATGGAACGTTAAGCATACATTGGCCCTTCGTACGAAAGCGAAGTTCGCTGTTCACAAAAAGATTGGAGAATTTATTGTCTCTTGGCGTATTCTTTGGCCTACTATCGTGTCAGTGCAGCCTATGTGTAAAATGTGTTGTGTGTGAGTGATATTGTCGCGTTACGTAGCATAGTGATATATTCGCTGTTGGAAAGCCTTTGCCTATGTGTCTTAATTTATAAATCAAATCAATTCAATTATTGTAATGGGAAAGTAATAATTTTCCAAGCGTGTTCCACACCGTTGCCATAATATATCTCCTGTGCTGCTATTTTTTAGCAATAGATTTTAGGCCTCTAAACCAGCTTCGTTTTTAACAGTTTTTAATACTAACATAAATTAATTAATTGTGAAAGTGCTTCCAATTTTCAAGTTACTCTTTTTTTTAACTGAAAAAATATATAAAGAGAATTAGAATTTGTTTTTTTCAAAGTTGGCCAAATAAATGTGTTTCATATGATTTTTTTTCCATATGCATACGATTAATACGATACAAGATTCAGATGCAGATTATTGTCAAATGTCAAGTAATATAAATTCGAGATGAGTTTTCACAATTGCAATTTTCCATTATCATTATCATTATTATAATTATGATTTAATGATTTAATAATACGATGGTAACGATTGTGCTGAGAATGAGGTTGATAAAGGCGAAGGTGAGGATAATGGTGGCGATAAGGCTACTGTGATTATGGTGGTGGCATTACATAGGCCTATGTTGTCAACTTGCCAAAATGCATCAGCGTATTAGGGAATCATGGGAATGAAGCGGGGTGAGGTAATAGAAAATTGAGTGCGCCACAAGAAATAATTCAATGAGGAAGGGGAACCTGGGTGGGGTATACGCAAATATTTCTTTGGAGGAGGGGCTCTACACCACGACCCTCATACGTCGCTTCCAAGGTTAGACGCCCTCAATGATCATGTCGAATATGAACACGCTGTTAAACCATGAATGTTTAATACAGAATACGACTTCCAGCGTGTTCAGTGATTACTCGTCTTCTTGTAATATATTTTGGGATTTTTTTTCTGGAAAATGCTTGTTTGATGATATTATAATTATTAATCGATATTTGTTCTTTTTTTGTATTTCTTTAGTAAATATTTATGATTGTGGTACAATATAGTTAAGGTACTGAGGTTTATGATATTAATTTTCATGGTGTTATTCTTAATCTTTCAGAAATCTTCATCGAGATCCATTGATCCTTCAATTTTCAGTGCACATCACGAAAGAATGGCTATGTTGAGATGAAACTTTTACAAAACTTCGTCGACTGGTGGCGCACGTCGAACTTTTCAACAGCAGAAGAACATTATATTGGCAATGGACATCATTTTCCATCATTTCAAGCCACAAACAGCATTTTCATTGGTTATGAAGCATTTGTCTATATGAACATGATCAATATTAAAGCTACCCTAAACTTTCAATCGGAACTCCCGATAACATGACAAGGGGACTGTGTTATTGATATTATTCGTTCACCGTTCTCTATTGCCATACGGTAAATACGCCTACTATGAAATTGCTGTTCTGTCGAACTGAGGATAGTGTTCAGTCGAAAGCTTTATTCCTCCGTGCTTATTGAGCTGAAATTATTTGGCATTTTTCTTTGTCATTGCGTGTCAGCGAAACCATGGCAAAACGGACGGGGACGCCGGTATAAATCAATCGGCGAGCAGAGCAGTTTTCTACATTCCCAGCAGCCGGAATATCAGATTTGTTTGCAATGGGTAGAAATTGTCGATCGCTTCAGTGAAAAGAAACATCACGTGGTAGGACCCAGCTGTAGTGAATACTATTAATGGCATTTGACAAATATACAACTCTACTAATGGATATGATAGTATGTTGTACCACAGGGAAAAGAATTCTTCACTACGCATAGCTACAAACTGTCTTATATTTGTACTAATTGATTGTGATATATTGCATTACGGCTTATCGTGATGTTTATTGATGACATATTGTAAACATGTGTTATGTTAGTAATTAATGTAATAAATCTGTGCTATATTGAGTATAATGCAACAAACAATACTGATGATATTTCTCTGAAATTAGGCGTATTCGTTCAGTGGACTTAAGTCATAAACAAGTACTTTGAAATTTATAGAATCGTTATTATTAATCGTGTTTTCAAATTTTGAAGATATTTATATTCAAACTCCAAATATGATTTTTTTCATTCCAGCTCCTTTATATTAAACGTTAATAGATTCAGATAGCAAATATGAATTTACTTGAAATTAACAACTCTGATGCCTACAAAATCCAAACCAAAAGTAGGTAATTCCATTATATGTATATATATATATATATATATATATATATATATATATATATAGGACCTGACGGTCAAGATTTCCTTTATTTCATTAGGCCTAATCGTAAAAGGTATCATGAAAAAAGTCAGCCGTATACAAGAGATGTTTTCGGTGGCAAGGTTACTTACTAGACTATATTCTATTAAAAACTTGTGGGCTTCAGACATTATAACTATTGGACCCACTCCCAAATAACATTTTGCAATTTAAAATAATATAAATGTGAAGTTGTGTCGATGTAGTGCATCCAGAGTCTTCATATTGGTGATTTTTTGATTCATGGATTTATTCATGTGTAATTTAATGTGTAATATATATAGGGATGTATAAAAATCCCGATTTAAAACGACCGTCTTTTATAATCACATTCTAGAGTCAAAACATTACTACACCGGTATATAGTGAGAACTAGTATTTGAACATCCAACCAGTAAATTTCAACTACAAAATACCTCAAAAAATGATACGGTACTTGTTAATAAATTAGTTATGTACAAGCAAGCAAAGTGTGTGACGTATTTATGTATTTACTGTATTTTCGTGTGACGTAAACTACTTTTTGTTTTTATCGCCTACTCACTTTTCTCGGATATATTTATCATTTAGGAAGATCAGTTGTGGCTGCCAAGTTTTGGCGTGAGAACTGGAGGAGAGCAAGAGGCTAATGTCTGCATCTCTCCCACACTTTCCTTTTATAGAGCACCAAATAATGCGTTACTTTTATAACTATTGAAAGTTACTGTAGATAAGAAGCCTTGGTGTTTTTTTTTTAAATTAAGAAGAACACATTTTATAAGACCACTGAGGCTGAATAAAATAAGAACAAATGAATGTAAGAATTTAATTTAAAAAAACCTAATTTTTAGGAAAAAACACCAACAATCAAGAGAAAAAAAAAGACACTTTTGTTTGGTCTTATCTGTACCTTATGCACAGTAGATGCGATTATGTAGTTACACTCAGCCTATAACCCTGTATATATTGCCGTTAGGCCTACGTATCAATGTTACATGTATCTTTGAAAAATGTGTAAAATAAAAACAAAATAAGAACATTCGAGCCAATATCCCCCCAAAAATAAGAACATTAAGCATGGGAAAAACTTTACCAGTTCTTAAATAAAAAAAAGTGTATATGGTTCACTTAACCATATATTACTCGGTAGGGCTCTTTACAAGACCCATATTTCTCGATCGGCTACATTACCAAGTTCACTAGCAACGTATTTTTTTAGTTTACTTTTGGTTCGAGACGATACAGTCTAACACTTTCTTAAATATTCCTTATAGTAGATTTATTTGGAATACAGTACACTAATTAGTTTTTTAAATTTATCTTTACTTACAGCCAAAAGGGATAAACCAATTGAGCATTAAAATGTTTATTTTTACAAGTACAATTTAATAATGAAATAATGAAACCACTAAGCATTCGTGGAGTGAAAAACTGAGGATATTCACGTACGGTAATCTAGACAGCAAGGTTATTTCCGTTTACTACTTCATTGACTATTACGTTAATCTGCAAAAATCATCTGGGTCCTAATTATTAAAAAAATATATATAATTTGATAAAAATGCCATATAAATATGAAATTAATATGCCGAAAGGTAATTCATTAAGTAGTAGAGCACACTAGTAAACAATGGTGTATTTTTTTATATCAAAGACAACGAATAATTGTATAATTTGGATGTGTGATTGAATAGAAAGTGTTAACTAGTGTTTCATTTTATGCACGCCTTTGCATGAGGTCTGGGTGAAGATTTCATCCTCACCTGTTTCTGCCAATCACTTGCCGAATCGCATAACGTTGTATTTATATCGTGTTTTTCGTGACATACTTAAGGTTAGGAGCATTTGACCTATAGAAGATCGTGTACAATTCACCAGAGATACAATAGTTATAATACCCTTGCTGAACATTTAGGGGATACATACTAAATAAAACATACCGGTAGGCCGCGCAGATGTCACGAGTTGGTGTGGTTTACTTGGTTCTACGGTAGAGACAGCGCCTTTCGGCAATGCTACTCAACTTAAATTGAAAATATTAATAGGCCTATGAAGACATCTATAATGCTTGAAGACATCTATAATTAATGCATATTAGCTTTCAAAGAAACTAAAAATCCAATACAAATCATTTTAATAAAGTAGGCCTCCCTATAATAAATTATCCTCAAAATCCATCGTTAAATTAGATTCTGATATTTTAATTATGTTATATTTCAAGGATGTGAGAATTTTTTTCCAACACTGTAAATATTTGCGTCTGGTAATATTAGTAACATGCTAAATAACTAATAGGACTCGCAGACAGTACTAAGCCTTGGTGTTCGTTTATTTTTAAGTCTCCATACTCCTAAGGAAGGCTGCTAGATAACGATGCATACCCATTAAGACTAGGGTTGGTGGACGAACAACCTTTGCCGATTGAGAAGTTGTTGAAAGAGTTCTGCTATTTACTTTCAGTTCTCCTTGATTTATAAAAGCTCCATAAAATATTTCAATCATTATTGCAAACTGTGTTGAAGTTTATAATGCAAACCGAAATAATAGGCTTATGTACTGGGGGACCTAGATTGAAGGAGGGGTACAGAAAGTAAAAGGGCATTGCTGTGTTGCTGTGTTACGGATGAGTTTAAATGACGCGGGGAACCATATCACCCTCCCATTTTGAGAGACTCATGTAACTTAAAAGAAGTCCAAAATAATATTAGATGAAATTAGCTACCGAGACGTTCCGAGATTTTACAAGGATATTACACGGAGGTACTTTCACACGTGCCGTAAAATGTTACTTTTGGTTACATTTTGTTACATTTGGTAAGATTTTTGTACGTGTGAATCGGGTATTAGGTTGGTGGACGAACAACCTTTGCCGATTGAGAAGTTGTTGAAAGAGTTCTGCTATTTACTTTCAGTTCTCCTTGATTTATAAAAGCTCCATAAAATATTTCAATCATTATTGCAAACTGTGTTGAAGTTTATAATGCAAACCGAAATAATAGGCTTATGTACTGGGGGACCTAGATTGAAGGAGGGGTACAGAAAGTAAAAGGGCATTGCTGTGTTGCTGTGTTACGGATGAGTTTAAATGACGCGGGGAACCATATCACCCTCCCATTTTGAGAGACTCATGTAACTTAAAAGAAGTCCAAAATAATATTAGATGAAATTAGCTTGAAATGTATTCTCATAAATGAACCCCCAACCCCTTCCCTAAAAAAAAAAAAAAAAAAAAAGCTGCTCCAGGAGTTTCATCAGTGTTAATAGGCCTAATAATCATTCTGTGAAGCCAGGAGACGGCCAAACACTGTACTGTACTGTACTGCATGGTAAGCAATGAAAAAAATTATACAGTACCGCACAAGATTACTGAATATTCTAAGGCATGGCATTGAATATCCCCGGAAATTTGTGGTTTTCTCTCCCACCGAAGGAGAGGGGGGACAGCTCTTTCTGGTGGGGAGGGGGCAGACCCAGGCCACCATCAAGCGCCACCCTTGCAAATCAATTTTGCCTAGTAAAGAATCAATTTTGATAAAACGTGTCGTTCCATGAGGATTCGAACCCAAGATCATTCAAGTGAATTTAAAACTTGTGTATCATTTTTAGCAAGGTACATCTGGTGTAATTTACTGACACTTTTAGTACACACATGCATCGTTTTAATCCTTTTGGGGCCATTCTTCATCTAGGTCTTCATAAAATATGTCGCTTTATATCTATTAACCCATTTGTTTAGCGCGCTTTAAAACAACAAATCATAAATCTTTTTTTTTTCTGTGAACTATTTTCGCGTATTGTGACATTAAAACACCGGTTGGATGGCTTCGTTTTTTCAAACAATAGTATCGGATTGCAGACCTGTGCCAATATTCATGACATTGATGTAATACACTGCAACAATATAATAACAAGACCCTATATTAAAATAGATATAGGCATAAGCAGGCCTAACGATATTAATTTGAAAATAAATATTTCGCCTATATATTGCCACGTCTTGGAGATTGTGTTAATACGCGGCTACCAATACGCAGGTTTTTGGGGCAAACTTTGGTAGGCCTAATGACGAAAACAGAAACTTTATATTCATTGACATTAGACCTACAGACTTTATCGCTTTTATTGTTTCGAATATTTTTTGCGCATGTGTTCTAATAATTAAAACTGCTAACTCAAGATATTTGAGAGTAATCCGGATAAATTAGCGTATAAAAATTAAATTGGTAAAAAATATTCGAGCAGGTATAATTAATAAATGATAGATATCTTAAGTACTGTAAGAAGTCAAAAAAAAATTATAATCTAGGAGGAAGTGTCTAAACTTAAAACCGTTTCCTCGAAGTATCTGATAGGCCCATACCGTTGTCAGTGGGTACACTATACAAGACAAAAGATACGATACGACAGTGGTGGTAGTGTAATTGGGATTAACTTTATTTCTATCAAAAATCCACCAAAGTACGAAGTACAGAAAATGTAACAAAAGATGGGGTATATCCAGCTAAGGAAAAAGCCTGAAAACATACTGTACCACCTAATACCAATTAATAATTATCGTATACTCTTCACATAAGGCCTATATTAAAATCCCGGCATCAACAATTCCTTGTACAGTAAATGACTTACGTACTATAATAATAATAATTTATTAGGAACTACACTTTTCAATCAGTGGCACACTTCTCAATCAAGGTGCGTCCAAAACAAAATGTACAGTAAAGTTCACAAAAAAGACTTATGCTAAGAAAACGACAATTCAAAA